ATCAACTAGTCCTCCCACAGTACACAGATCCTGTGAAGTGCGCATCTTGGAAAGGTCTTTTGGCGAGGCGTGGCGCTCTATCCGACGCATGGTCATCAGTTCTTCGATAGCTGACAAGCCCGGGCAGGCTACTGAGTTTTTCATGCCTCTGAGCCATGTACAAGTCAGTCGTACGACTGCTTCTGGATTTATCTTGCTGAAATGGTCAGACACGGGCCAGGAGAGGTCTAGCAAAACAGACGGGAACTACCACCCACTTTTCACTTACGTCTATGACGGTAGCAATCCAAACATAGGCCTCGGTATCCAATTTCGCTCACCAGATGCAGTGGATAAGTTGGAAAAGGTTGTTTTGGGTCTAAGCCAGAAGCCTGCCTTCACCTGGTCTCAGGTCAAAGGCTCAGGGCAGGTCTACGAGGTTGCTGACATTGCGCCCGATGAGAAACGCTATAAGGCGGTGATGATATGCCGCACTCGCGCGGAATGGAAGCAGTGCAGTCTACATTATCTCTTCAGGGATATGGACTATCTGTATGACCATTCTAATCTCCGTGTGAGATTTCCCCGTGCATTATTCGCCACTTACATATCCTCACACGTTGACCAGCTATATCGGGCTGATGGTCGAGTGTTTTTCTCTCACTGCGAAAAAGATTTCAGGGATATGACAGTGGAGTTTCACGAAGAGCGCGTGCTGATGGCATTTATGTCCTCGCTTGCATCAACATACAAGCTGGTCTTCTCCAGGAGAGCCACATCCCTCACGACTAAAGAAAAGCTACTGCTCCTCGGTCCTAGAAAGTCAGTGAAAGGAGACTCACAAGTCCAGCTATGGCGCGATGGAAATACCATTCGTCTTGCTGCGCGTTGGAGCGACCGTATAACGGACAGGTGGCTCACAATGACCATACCACCATCTGAACCATCCAGAGCCGGAAATCTGGTCAGCTTCCCCCCAAGCAGCTATTCAAGGGGGATGATCCTCAACATGACAAAGATAGCATCAGGGGCAGCCAAGAATCAGAATAGGGAGCACAAAACGGGGCCAATTACGATCACCTTCCCCAATCTAAAAGGTACGCCTTCCTTTGCATATGGAAACGATAAGGCTGATGTGCTTCAGACCGAGAAGAATTCGTTGCTGTAATAACGAACAATCAGTTGAAGTAGCCGGCAAAGCTTATAGGATCAATTTTAAGGATTCTAGTCTGTTACGATAATCGCATGGGGCCAGTATCCAAGACCAGGGGGTATAGCAAAGCGCAGGAAGATGTGCGGGCCATGTCCCCACCGTGAGAATGAGGAAACCATGGAACATCAAACCCAATTTGGAGGCAGTATACCAGGCAGCCCAGACAATAAAAACAAACGGTATAGATTACGAGAAGACAAGGATTAGCAAACTAGGATTATAGACTGTATTGTGAAAAATACAAAAAGAGTAGTCACGCCCGGGATCGAACCGGGAACCTTCTCGGCGCGTCAGTTTGATGTGAACGAGAAATCATAACCATTAGACCACGTGACTGGACAATGGGAAAGTTTTGTCGGACTTTGACTTAGGGAGTAGACAACTTTAACCCATGTTTATCACGAAGGACTGTCTGAGAACTACACTGATTTGTTGTAGCAGAGCATGCGAACTGCATTCCACAAAAGAAAATCGATAATAACAAGTAAAACTCATGATTAATCCATTTGCAGACACGTTATCCTGCACCGGCCATAGCTTGATCGCGGTGCTATTGACTAGGAGCGTACTGAGATGTTGACCATTACACACATCCACATCTTCGAGATGCCAGCCAGAATGATATCGCAGGTGCATATGAATCAGGAGAGAATATACATAGAAGTATCCAGAGTAGTTGCTAGCTAGTTCAGATGTATAGAACAACCTATCACTTTGACAACGAGCAAGAAGAACCGGGGAGAGAAAAGCCAGGTCTGTGCTGCAATGCAACAACAACATGCAACATCTCTTCATCTTCGCCTCCAAACACTATGTGCTGATCGCTTCTCGTGCCGGAGAAAAAGGCAACGAAGCTATCAGCACTCGCAAGCTTGTGATAAGAGCAAAAGACTGCAGATCACCCGTCCGTGTTTAGTGAAGAGGAGACATCGTCGAGGTAGTCAGTCAGTCACTTTCATTGTACTCTGTACCCCGCTTGATCATGCCGCTCATCTGGAGATCCCGCACGAACACCACAATTTACAGAGAGAACCTGCAGAACCCGCCCAGCAGGTAGCTGTATTTCTTCCCCGACAGAATCGGAGAGATTATCTAGCCATTTGGGATTTCAAAGCTAATGGATATATTAATATAATTGAAATTAGTAGTAACATCCGTCCCGCCGCGCAAGCCAGTCGCTGACTCTAATTTCATTTGTCATAGCTAACTATTGCTCATCGTCCGTGACTCAATTTAAGGCGCGTCTATCCGGTTCCCTACTAGCGGATGACCAGTAAAGTGTGCCTCAAATCATGTATTCTTCAGCGCCCACCCCCAGATCGTCTCAGTCAGTTAAGTCGCCCGGGTGATCTCTCCCCAATATTCTTGTCCCCGACGCGTGCGCCTTGCACGTGCGAGCCTCATGACCCATGGGCAAAGGCTGAGCTCTTATAACGCGAGGCTTTTCACCGAATGCCCTCGCCGGGGCATTTTGTTGAGATGTGTCCTGATTTATCTCACCATGATTAGTGCTTGCCCTGTTGGCAAGCCTTGGGATTCTTCTTGTCGAGGAGGAACTGACTAACTGACTGAGATATCTGGGTATTTTGTTGTTGCCTGGGCTGTTCGAGTTTTCTTTGCTTAGGTATCTATCTATTCATCTATCCCATTGGTATTTATAGTCAGTTGGTCTTTATCCGTTGCTGTCCTGTTCCTGACTGATTTGTCTATTTCATAGTTATTCTTGCTCTTACACTTTGTTGATATGCCACACTTAGTCCACCATCGACGACGCCACTCCTGGCCATATTGCGGCCCTGGGACACAGCTACGTGAACAACGAAATCTGCCGCTCGTCATCGCTGAGCAGCAACGTCAATTCGAACAGCAGTTCTTGACCCCGGTGGGATCTGAGGATTTGCTCGAGGATGATGCCGCATCGGCGGGTATTGTTCGTTCCAGGACTGCCCGGCCCCATCGACGTTGGTACGCTCCATGGGATACAACTCCGCCTAGCGCCTCTGGGCAAGTCACAGACCATCATGCTGGATCAGGATCGGGGTCCCTCCGGAAGATGATCCGTCCACCTCTGGATAAGGCCCGATCACTCTTTGTGCTGCCGACCACGACCACTACTGGGGAAAGTGTGCTGGTTTCATACTGGATGCCCCAGGGAGCTCCTATTTTGCCACCTTCAGGTTCGATTGCTGAAAGAGGAAGAGTTGCTGATGTTAAAACCGGAGCTGGATACCTGTCAGTTGAGCGATACCATCGGCGATGCCATTCGGAGCAGCCTCGGTCGTGGAAAAGGCCCAGCGCCACGTTGTGGCCACTGGAAGAGGAGCAATAGCTGTATGCACTGTCTGTTAGTTTGTGCTGTTTTATTGGTTATATTTCAGTGTTTGGTTTTGACATGTTTGCACGCATTGCATCGCGAGGGTTGCTTTCATGGCGTTGAGTGAGCATTTTGCATGCGATGAGCTTTGTTGATGGCGGCTGCTTGTTGATTTGATGATATAGCAAGACCAGTAGGTCATACCAAGTCTAGAAAATGAAGAAAAGGACGGTCTTCGGAATACTCGTCGCAGCATGTTCGTTTCCCGTATTCCAGTAGGATTCATTTCCCAACAACTCCTTGTGCTCGGAAGCGCGTGCCGGCCAGCCTCTTGGCACAGGACACGTGAAGAGCCGTGATGTCATTGGCGAGCTTAAGAGCCTCAAGTGGGTCACTGGCCGGCGTCCCAATTGGGAAGGCCGTCTGAGACTGGCTGGCTGTCTCTGTCTTGTCTGTCGCTGTTGTGTTGGCTTCGCTTTCAACACCATCCGCAGCGCATCGCCTACCCTATAATTCCCTCACTCATTCCATCGAGGCATTTTCGTATATCCCGCACTGGGAGCGTGACAATCTGAGCAGGGATCATGTTTCAGATAAGAGCCATTTTCACGCAGTTGCTATCAAAAGCAATCCGTGAGTGTGTTTTCTCCGGTTCATGGTAGCCTGGAGAGGGGAAGGAGAAGGAGAGAGACCAGGGTGGAGATCAGCACTAGCTGAGACTAACACTTGGGAAACCACCTCCTGTGAGCCGTAAGCCCTATGTCCCGTCCCTAGTCCGAATTCGAACATCATTTCCTATCCTGCTTGCTAAGTCCGAGCGATCATTCCTGTCTGCAAGGTGGGGGCTGAATTCTCACCCGTTCTGTTGCTTCGTGGGAAGAATTCTGGAAGTTGTCTGGAATGCCCTAGAGCTGACAGCTCACTCATATCCAGACAAAAACAACGAGGACGAACATTCCAACTGCCTATCACTAAAGGACACACCATCAATCTCCGACGGGCGCGCCCGAACAGCGGACAAAATCAAGGCAGCCTTGTGGACGCTGCTGCGGTGGATCTAGCGGTGAAAATGGAGCACCCTGATGGGTCATTTCCCGGTGACAGGCACGATTATTGGCCGGCTCGTAAGGCATAGGGCAGACGCGTGGAGACGACTGGAGATCCTCACCGACTGGCTCATCATTCAGCTGCCGTCCGTGACTCAAGAAAGGGCCATTTGAGCCCTATCGATGGAGCCCCTCGGTGCTGGCATTCTTTCATTCGTCCGCTCGGGCTTCCCGGCAGGGGCCCCATGCCCCGGATAGGGCCAGTGCTGTTTTGATAGGCTGATGGGTGGGCTTCCAGACATGCTCGGAATGAGCACGGAAGGAGGGGACGATGGAACATAAATACGCACATTTCCCCTGTGCTTTTTGGATGCAATAACCTCATTTTACACGAGTTGATCCCACTTTTTTCTGATCCATTCGCCTTGGTATATTTTCAATCAAAGCAATGAACGACGACCACCAGACTTCCGCTCAGCCAAACACACTCAAGCGGGCTCTTTCTCAATCCACTACTTCCTCCACATCATCAACCACCACCAACTCCCACGCTACGAAGGCTAGACATCACAAAGCAAGCCGTCTGTCCAGCGTGAAACAATTCCTCCGGTCGCGCTCCCACTCTCCAACCGCGGCTTCTATTCCTTCGAATCGCTCCTCTCCCTCAGCTAGCTTCGACATTCCTCGAAGCATTCCAGCAAACTCCACCCCTCGTCGCTCTGCAAGCCCCGTCTCCACCATGTCTCCTAGCAGAGCCTCCACCGACGACAGCGCAACCAACAAGCGTGTACATTCCACACACATCCGCAGAAGCGGCCACGACTACCGTCGTTACAGTGGCACAGTGAACCACTACGGTCGTCACTCGAATGACTGGCTGTTTGGAGGCTTCAGTCTGCGGGATACCGTACGGGATGGAGTGGATCGTCTGAGACACCATCATGCCAAGGATTGAGCCTACAATGATTTGCACGCTTATATCTTGTGGATCTATTCTATTCCTGGGTATTTTTGCGGTTCTTCTATTCCGACAGATGATTTTTCTCCGGTCGCATTAGTGGCCCTCCACCATCAGGCTTTCAGCGCCCCCGACATCGCTCCGCAGTTTATTTGAGGATCAACTGGGGCCAGTCTGGCAACAGATTGCCAGCCAATTTGTTGAGAGTTTCAAGCATGAAAAGGGAATCCCTACGCGTCGAGTCAACAATACTCATGCGTCATGCTTGGGTGATTTCGCTTCGGCACAAAAGGCCGTTGCATCGATCCCATCTTATCAGCACGAGAACGCCACGCGCATCTGTTCTGTTCTGATCGATCCGAACCGGATCTACTTTATGACATGTTACGAACATATACCCGCTATGCTATTCGTTTAATTCAATCATATCACTCCTTAGTGTTCATGCAATCTCACGGATTACGCTTTTAATTTTTCGTAAAAAGCAGTAGTAACTTGTAATCATATCTTCAATGTAATGGTCAAACAATATTAGTTGATTCAAGAGCCGTATCATTAATATTAGACAGAGAGAATACTACAAATAATCTTATTCTATGTACTTCATCTCAGAATATGGTTTCCCGCCACACTGGCTTTAAATCACAGCAACAACTGATTCTACATAGTCCCATCATCACCACTCTTCCTCCTTCTAATCCAGACTGTGTCCTCACCCTCATCACCATTCTTACTCCCCTCTCCCATTCGTCAACAACAGCCCCAAAAACAACTTAACTGAAAAGCCGTGAACCATCGCCCCGGGCAAGCATTCCGTCCATACCCGAAATGCAACGACGTCTCATTCACAGACACATAGTGGTTCTTACCAGTAGTAGTAGTAGCAGATAACCCACCCTGACTCCTCAACCAATGAAACCTCAACCCATCAAACACCTCCGGGGGCTCAATATACTCCGGATCCCAGCCAACATGAAACGCCGGCGCCGCGATATGCTCACCTGCCTTGAGTCGCGTACCGTCTGGGAGAGTAAAAGGTTTCGGGACTTTACGTTCGAAGGTGACTATCATTCAATTAATATCATTAGAATCGAATCATGCGCAAATGTGCCTAGAAGGCACTACAGTAAGAGACTGGAAGGAATACTCACCCGCCCCCGGCGGCCTAACACCTCTGCGACTCCTTAACAAAGCTATCCATCATACTCAACGAGCTCACAACGCCTGCTTACTTATCCCATCACCACCACCACCAGTAACCACCACCCGCTCAAACTCCCCCCTCAGCAACGGCACCATCTCCTCCCCATGCTCCGCCAAATCCACCAGACACTGCGCCGCGGCCGCTGCATTAGCAAGCACCGTGCCGACGGACATCATCGCCTGCACGTGGCTCTGGTGACTTGTCGGTGTGTCCACATAACAAAGTTTAAGGTCACCTGAGATTGGAACTGCCTGCGAGATTTCTGGCAGTGACTTCTCTCACTCATCCCTCAATACCTGCTATATGCGGCTGTGTGGATGCATTCGGGATTGATGTAGATCAATATGTTGTGACACCATGGACATCATTTTAGGCTTGTTCGTGTAACACTCGGAGTTGCCTCGAATGTTCTTGGACAAATCATCACTTACCTTGACCAGCTGCAGAAGATCTTCCGGCACTTGGTATTATGCCACTGCATTGAAGAGTCATGATGCTTTGCAGAAGCAGGAAACACAATCTAGATGTTGATTCCAATAGCCTCTTTTGTAAGCATCGTGCAGCATTTAGGATTTTAGTCGCCATATAAATGAACCATGTAAGAAAAGAAAGAGCATTGGGAATTTTGAGCACTCGACTTGATATCAGAGCGAGTTGCTTCGTATGTACCGTCAAAGTCCCAACATGATTGACAAGAACGACGAGACCGGATCACGTGGATCCCAGCATGACTCGTGCTTTCTACACAATCTTAGCACTAACTTGAAATCGACTGGAACAACGCTTTCCGTCTCTGAATACCAAGATTGCCAAAGAAACCAATCGCCAATTCAAGACTTGGAAACTGCTTGGTCTATCCTCCTTTCCAAGTATGTCAACACCTCTAGGGTACTATTCGGAGCAATCTCGGATAGCGGCACCTTGGAGGATTGGAGGGCATCGGTAAACGAAGAGGCGCATATTCCGCAGGCTATCTCCTTATATAAAGTACGTGATCGGGAGAATATAGAGCTGTGCTCTGAATGTTGCTCCAACACGTTCCTCCTTGAGAGTATTGAACTCAAGACCGTCGAAAGATTGGCTCAAGTAAAGGTTCGCACCGTGCAGCCGGTGGTCTAGTGTGTATAGGCATTAACAACTGTGCCAGAAACATGTCGATCTTACTATCGGGATAGACTTTTCAAAGTCCCGCTTCCGAATATGCATATACAGGTAAGAATCGTTTCTGGATCAAGATCACGCAGAACTGTTGAACTCAGCTTTGATTCACACGTTGAAAAGCCTGCAGTCTACACTTCAGCTAAAGTCCATAGACCTGATCAGTGACTTGCAGCGACGCCAGCTCAATAGATGGAACAGAGCGGCGCCGACAGAACCACTAGGTGACACGATTCATAATTGTATTGGGCGACAGTGTCTCAGGCGGCCCGAAGCTGAAGCCGTTTGTGCCTGGGATGGGTCATTCCCCTACGGGGAATTGGATATATTATCGTCGGAGGTTCGTGATGTTTTATATGCCAGAAATGTGCTGCCTGGTGTGATAATTCCAGTACTTTTTGAGAAGTCAAAGTGGACAGTGGTGGCAATGCTGGGTGTGCTCAAAGCTGCTGCGGCTTTTGTCACCATTGACCCATCATTCCCTTAAGCCCGGGTGCAAGCCATTTGTCATGAGGTAAAGGCCCCGGTGATCCTGTGTTCCTCCAAGCAGGAACTTTCGATACCAAATCTGAACCATAAAACCATCACCGTTCCCATCACTAGCCCCGGCATCCTTTCATCTCAAACCCAGGAGAAACATTCGTCGGCATCTGATCCCTACCAGCCGGCTTACATCGCATACATCTCAGGTTCTACTGGGATCCCCAAGGGCATTATCATCAGCCATGGAAACTTCTGTACCAACATGGCTCTTAGCAGTCCTCTGCAGAGTCTTAGCTGCTCCTCCCGCGTCTTGCAATTTGCATCATATGCATTCGATGTCAGCATCCATGAAACGTTGACTCCCCTGATGTTAGGGGGCTCTGTGTATATCCCTTCGGAGTCCCAACGGGTAGACAACCTTCAGCAAGCAATCCTAGATCTTCGGGTAAACTGGATAGAGTTGGTGCTTTCCGTGGCACCACGACTTGATTTAAGCGCTATACCTGAAGTTAAGACCCTCGTCGTCGGTGGGGAAACTATGCGTCCGTCAGAAATTCGCCGATGGGCAGGCCAACTACACCTGACTCAGGCGTATGGCCCGGCAGAATGTACTATAGTTCCACAATTCAATCAGGGCTCAGCCAGGTTAGTGATCCTCGTAACATTGGGTATAGTGCTGCGGGATCATCCTGGATTGTTGAGGGAAGCTTGTACCCATTGGAGCAGTGGGAGAGCTCGTCATCGGTGGCCCGATAGTTGGTGGGGATACTTGGACAACCAGAGCAAACAGCACAATCATTCATTTCTGACGTTCCATGCTCAAAGAGGCCCGGAACCTACTACAAGACTCACCACTCTTTTATTTTCTATACTGTGCATGAGCCTGGTTCCAGACTGAGGCTAACCCTGCATCATGCGCTCTTTGATTTGTGGTCTTACAGTTATATCATAGATGCCGTGGAACCTGCATACAACGGGACGCAGATTGTGACGTCTCCATTTGTCCCTCTCATTAAATATCTTTAATACTTGGATGATATTGCCGCAAAAACATTTTGGACAGGTGAGTTCGACAATTTGGCTGCAGTTCCTTTTCCAGCCAAGGGGGCCCCGGGCCATATTCCCCGAAACGTCGCGAGGTGTGTCCATAGCTTTGCCTTCAAAGGTGCAACGAAAATGAAATTACTCTGTCGCCTGCATGTCGCCTTGCATGGGCCCTCGTAGTGACCTGTCATACAGGATCATTGGATGTCGTGTATGGGGTGACCGTCCCGGGCCGCAACAGCTCCGAGACGGCTAGCATTGTCGGGCCTACATAGGACGAGAAGATATATGACGCATTGAAGAATCTACAGAAATATGCCTCAAATATAATGTCTTACGAGCATTTGGGGTTCATCGGATGCGACAAATGCAGTTCTGAAGCCGTCAGTGCTAGCCAGTTCCAGAGCTTTCTTGTTGTCCAGCCAGCAAGGCCACCTTTGCCCAACGAAAATTCTCATAGCCTATTGAAACTGATGGAAGTAGACGCGTTAGAACAATAGACTGATACTAACTTTGCGACCCAAGTTCTTACGATCATATGCGAATACGCAGAGGACACTATGAGATTGAGGGGCTTGTATGATCCTGAAGTGGTCCCTCCTGAAAAAAAATAGAAGGATACCTGCACCAGATAAGCGACTTTTTGAACTTGATTCTTAGTTCGTCATCAGATACTGTGGGTGATTTACTGCGAAAGACCACCGAATACATCGGCCCTGATGTGAACGAAGAAAGCCAGGTACTGAATGATGTAGAACGAGCGGCTCAAACGCTTCTGGGACAAAAAAAAACCCGCGAAAAACAGAATGGGTTATTCCAATCGATACGAACACACCAAACCTAGTCTTGTTTGTCGGGTGTAATGACGGCTCGTGTGTTAACCATTCATGTGTCTTCAAGTTCCCGGACATTGATACTAGGGCCCGCTTGCATAAGGCTATGACACAGCTTCAAGCCACTCATTCAGATGCAATGACGCCCATTAATTGCCTTCCAGTACCTGTATCCCATGAGTCTGTTGGACTTCCCAGCAAAGCTTATTTTGAAAAAGGAGGCATCGAAACTGCCGTTGAAATTTTTGCAATCATACATGTGTCCTCAGGAAGCCAGTGTTATCACGGTGAAGTCCACGACCGACATACAGTCAAGGTTACGCCGCATAATGGGTGTTATCTTGCATATTGACATGGATGATGTTGATCTCTACGATAGCTTTTTCACCCTAGGCGGTTATTCAATTTTAGCAATGCAAGTCGTTGCGCAGTGCCGTGACGAAAATATATATCTCACTGCTCACGATATTTTGATGCCAAGACGATACACCGTATTGTTTTGAGAGCGTCTCCTTCGTCGGAAAACAATTCTGCAGCCATTCATGATATATCGTTGCTTCCTGATAGACATCAGGACATTGCTGCATTCGAAGCCGATATGAAACACTTGGATAAGCTACCGAGATCTGCCAAGGTAGAGGACGTGTACCCTTGCACTGATCCTCACATGGGACTGCTCCGGAAGATGATCTCCTCATTTCATCTATCTTACACGATCTGGGTAGTTACTGTTAACGATATATCGATTGACATTGAACGCTTGCTTTTCGCTTGGAATTCAGTTAAGCGCCATGCTGCGCTGCGAACAATCTTGATGGAAGATTTTGGTTCAAAACACCATGTTGTGCTGGGGAATTGCCCCACAGAAGCTAAGGTCTTGCGGCAACCGTTAACCCACTCGTTCACACCAATATTCTGCAACGCTTCTGCAGCAAGTACGAAGTGACGATAACAAACGTTCTCCAACTATCATGAGCACTGGTATTGCAAGAATACTGTCAATCGAGCGATGTCTGTTTTGGAACGACGTTCTCTGGACGCGATGCACCGATTGATGGAGTTCAAGACATGATCGGCTCGATCTTCAATGTTCTTCCATGTCGATTTCCTCTGGACGCCGAGTCCTCTTTCTTAGAGACACTAGAGTGGAGCCAGAAAAGCACTCCCGAGGACAAATTGCATCAATTTTGCTCACTTGTGGACCTTGAGGGTTTTTTGCTACCAGGAAACTAGGATCAGCCACTGTTCAATACATGTCTGTCAGTGGAGAGCGCATTGTCCAATGATACAGGAGGGCTTTCCTTTCGACCGATAGAGACGCATGAAGAGACACATGTATGTGCATGCCGCAACGAACATTAAGCAGACGATGCTGACGTGGCTGTCTTAGAACGATATTCTTGTAGTTGTTACCGCCCAACCCGACAAGACTGAAGCTCAACTTATGTACCGGTCACATCCAATGAACGAAAAGCAAGCCATGGAAGTAACTGAGGTACTTCGAACATGTTTAATGTGGATTTTGGAAAACCCTCATCTGAAGTTATTCAACCGTTCGACGCCGCACAATACTATTAGCTGAGCCGGTAGCTGAGCATTGTTATTAAGAAAAGGAAGAACTCTTCTACATAATCAAATCTGATTCTCCCTTAAAGATGACTTTTGCGCAAGCTATCCTTCTAATTAGTAAGATAGAATACAATTCATTCTTAATCCCTGGTAAACTACGCCGCCCATGGTACAGCTGATGGCAAGTATCACCCTGTCCAGGCAACCCGATTCCCAGATCGCCACCCCCTTATCTATGAACCATCACCAACATCGCCATCCTCACCCCAATTGTACCACCACGAAGTATTAGAGAATCCCAATTAAATGATAACCCAGCCAATTAACCACAAAGATGCCCCCGCCACCACTACCAAGCATTCCAAGCCAAAATTCTCCAATCTTCCAACCGAAGCTGAATCGAAATCCCCAATCAGCCAATAATCACCCCCCGGTCCCTGAGCCCTACGTAAGTGGGAGAATCCTTCAGCCAGATGATTAATACCATTATATTTCCATTAATACAGTACTCCTACTAACTAACTACTATAGTACTCGTATTCTTAATATTACTCATCACGATCGATCACTGCAGCAGTAGCAGCAAAGCTCCACCACATCCAAACACCGAAGATTCAAATCCCGATTTGATCTTCAATCACCCACTAACTTATGGATGGATCCAGTCAGTCGACTAAAAAAAAAGACCTGCTACTATGCTAGAAATGCCCAAGCGAAGCATTATATCATTTCCTCTATGGAAGTCGTAGCCTTGAATTATAAGTTACATTCGGACTTATTTCCTTGTCAATCGGGCTAATTTCGTCCTTATCTCGGGGAGATTGCTGTGAGTGCGAGTGATTATTGCAGTGTTGATGCCCAGTGCGGGGCCCACTTTGATATTATATCAAGGTTGTAGTATAGGAGTTAGTTGAGGGTTTTATAGGGATCGGTGCTGGGATGGTGTGGGATCGATGTTTTCTTTTTCTTCGAAATTTTTTTTTTTTCCTTCTTTCTTTTACGAAGGGACTGGGGAAGCGTTTGTTGACTGATTGTGGATTTGAGTAATTGATGAAGGATTTGATTGATTTCTGGTATCTATATAGGGATTGGTATGTTATTTGGATGGGGTGATGGTGGTGGTGTTGAAGAAGATGATTGTTGTGATGAGAGATGAAACAGGTTTCATGGCTCGTTCTGGGAAATGTGCTATTGGCGGAACTGTTCAATCAATTTTTAAGGGTCTTGATGCCTGATCGTCATAAAGTTTTATCCATGGTGGGTTCTGCGATTTGGCTATTTGTTGCAGGGGTTTGTTGCAGGGATTTGGATCGGTGTCGCGTGGCCCACGATTGGCAGATGTGACGGTTTAGTGCCGGGATGGGAAAATCCAATTAAAGTTGCATTCGCTAAATCTGAGCTTGTGTATCACATACTAAGCGGTAAATAAGAAAAATCAAACTAAATCGTAAATCATGTGGTGGCCAACACTCTGCACTTCGTGTTTGGCCCGCCTCGAACAAAGGAAATTCACATGAGTGAGCGAGAAAGCTGAGATACAGGCCGAAACTCCTGGCTGATCCTGACGCGATCTTCACAAACACCGAGTAAAACCGACAATTAATACGAGTAAAGGAGGGTACGAAATATGGCTGTGCTCCAAGGCTTCTATGCTGATTGCCATGTCGCAATGTCGGCCGCAGTGATGTCGATGTTTTCCGGGATTAGGGTCTGTAGCTTTGAGACCTGAGTGGGTGCTGGAAATGGGTTAGCTGTGAGATACTATACTAACGATGGGACTTACTCGGACGTGGTGTAGCAGCGCCTGCCTGTACTTGAATAATACCCGATTCAACATATTCTTTCGTGGTGACGCCGTTGAGAGAGGCCGCTCCTAGCATAACCCGCATCCGATACCGACCAGGCTGTGTGAATTTGAGAGGCCCAAATCGAGCGTATCCGCTGGTGCCGTTGCCATTGCGACTACGCACGCTAGATGTAAGCACGCCTGTGAGTCCTGAAGCTGGAGCAGTGCCTGCTTCATTCCTCAGCGAGGCATGCGCAACCAATTGTTGCACTCCTCGTGGGTTACCCACAGGTCGGACCCCCACAATAACTGGTAGAGTCACTGGTACGCCAAGGGGAACTGTTGTAGGAGGCGCAACCTCAAAGTTCATGCCATATTCACGGCTGGAGCTTCCGCCATCGTTCCTTCCGTTTCCTTGAACCATAATGATTGATGCGCGGGTGTGTATCGACTCAATGGCAATTTCGACAAGTAGTACTCAGCTAGGGCTCTGAGACTGATTCCCAGCAGGTCAAGAAGAGAACAATCGCAAGGGAAGAGAGAGAAAGCGATGCGACAAGTGCCTATTTGAAGCAGAAAACCCGAGGTTTCGATTTGAGATTGTAGGCTTGAGCTTGTTGAGTGAGCGAAGACATCGAAGAGAGGCTTCTTCCAGGGCCTTCATATATGCGTCTCCTCGTATATAGTAGCAACGGATCGCTAGGGTGCGATACAGGAGTCTCGAATTGAACCAGGAAAGTACTCAAGACGGCAATGGTCTTTTGCCACCACGAAGGAACTAAGATCAATAGATACTGGGGGTTCCAGTAACCGGGATCTGCACCAGAGGTCCCGTATGCCCCTAGGCTGCGGGATATTGAATGTTACCGGACGTTGGGTACTGCTAAACCTGCACGATCCTGCAACAGGGCGCTTGCATAGACGATATCCGCTCGAGACGATTTATTTGTCTGCGAGTTGACGTTTTCTTTTTCCCCCCTTCCCCACTAGTACCCAGATCAGCTACAGATCGTGGTCTTTGGTACGCGTCAATTTGGGTCCCGTTAGCGCGGGTAGAAAGGAGAGAACCATGGACAGTTCCAGAGTTGAACTTCGGGTCCCGCGAAGGTTGAAAAGCAGAGCGCACTGCGGTGTCAAAGTGCGAATCCATGCCAGGGGATCTGATTCTGAAGCTTAACATCACTCGACCCAGTTGGATCAACTAGTGACTATCGGATGTATGACGATCAAGAACTATGGTTCGTGGCAGGTTTGTTTTTCCATGTATTTCATTACTTTTTCTGGCTGATATTGTGCTTCCATGGCTTGCTCCGCCCGCGAACCATTTCGCTCCATAGGACGACTGCATATGGTTTGGGGAGGCGGAAATGGTCCCGTGGAGCGAGAGTTAGAGCCTAGGTGAGGAAGGATCATTCCTCATTAGTCTCCTTGCATTGACCTCCCGGGGAAATTGCGAGATCGAGCTAGGGATCTAGAGATACGGGTGCTAGGATCCTCTTCCCAGTTATCCAAGCGCCGGATACCAAGCCCGGAAACTCAAATCTGTTGCGCAAAATCCGAGCTTTGGCGACTCCTGCTTACTACCTGGACCGTGCCGGAACCACGTTTTCGACAGCTCCCGGACGGCTGCTCACTCGTGCAATACCTATCCATCCTGCTCCCATCTGTACTTTTGTCAGACCGTGACTTGGGAGACTGTCTTCATATGGCGGATCTCCGGGACCTTCAGAGCTATACTGGCCCCGGGAGTCTGAAGCGTCCCTGTCGCTCGTCTACCCAGTCCAGCGGTCAGAACCCAGGTTCAGACCCAGGAGAGCGGATCCGTCTAACTAGGGCCTGGACTGGTCATGGAGTATCCACTAATTTGACATTCCAGACTCCAAAGCCCGAGCAAGGTAAACAGAGACGATCCGACAAGGACGGGAACGGGACAAGGTCCTGTTGTACTGCAGAAAAGGAGGGGCGACTGGGCGTCAAGCCCCAGGGGCTACTTCGCCACACAATATACCCCTTTGAGTCTAGATCAACACACCAGCCACATAACCCTCCAGCCTCATTATGGCTGGTGTGTTCCCTGTGTAATCCCGAGATGCCATGATAGGCTGTTCAGTAATAGAGGAGATAACCTTAGACCCCCGTCCTAGTAAACTCTGTCTAAATGCTGTTGCCTTGCATGAATCTCTGATGGCACTCCTGACACCGGTCTGCTCGGCTAGCAAATGACATTCTCCCCAAGATTTCCGTGAGATACACCCGAATTATGCCGGGATGATACTGCAGATGCCTCTTGGTCCCACTCCCTCTGAGACCACACAACATGCAGATCTTCTTTCTGTAGTTGGGGGTTTCGGCCGGATGAACGGTGGGTCCACTGCATGATACCCAGTACAACGGTGTGCGTGCAAGATCTAGACCCTGGGGTCTTCACCATCAGGGCTCCATGTCTGAAATGGTGACATGTAGTTTCTGCAATGCACTTATCATGCTGATTCCTCGCACTTCGTGAAATCGGGGTTTGTCATGCAATGAGATAAGTGTGCAGTATGTCATGTTTACGTTCCTGAAATTTAACCTTGAAAAAGGCCGTGATCGATCAATACACGGAATTCCGGTCACACGAGAGGCCGTGACTCCCGCTGGTCCTGAGATCATCGAATCTCATTTCATCATCGACAAGATCAAGGTGGTGGTCATCGGGGATGATTGCTTTTTTAGACACCAATCGTTGAGTGTTTCTGCAATGCAATGCAAGATCGATCGGCGCTACTTCCTCCTGTAGGTTCCATGCCTCGGGACGCGTGGGACGAGACATGCTGCATGATGATTGGGCGACTGCGCTATGGTTCACTAGTAGCCACTTGTGGCTGACACGATGATCAACGGCCTATCTGTGGCGGTGTAGTGAAACCACGACCTTCCTTACGTTGCGGCGGGTGTGGCTAGTGGCCATCCGGAACTGTCATAGTTCAGCAAATAGTCCCGAAATGTGGCGTCGGGCACAACTTGGAACATCCTGTAAAGGGAGCGCTTTCACCGCATTTACTGCAGGTGATGTGTTTGTTTCTGATTCCGTAATCCGGATAGCATTTGCGAAGTAGTCAGTCCAGTTCCAGGGTCACCCATGCTTGAAGCTGACTTGTCTTTTGTCAATGCTGAAAGACATCGTTCATCAACACTCCACCCCCTAAATCCTCGTCTATTCCACTAGCGTCTACCGCTTACCCTTCGCCACGTTCTCTGCTTACTGACATGACTCGAGTCCCTGGATTCGCTCACCGTGTGACATCCATGATCATTGAACTGAGAAGAGGCAAGTCATTGATGCAGCGAGGCATTACCAGTTTACCTGCCCTTTTCGGCCTCTGTCCAAGGGAGACAACCTTGCTCATCTGTGAATGTGGGATGCCGGTATGGTGTGATGCTGTCTTTAGAGTATATGTTCCAAATGCCGACGATATGATACACACGGCTTAGAGAGTCATGTTACTATTCATTTGCTTTTCCTATCCTTTCAGACATCAGAAAAACTAATTGGTGGGCCATCACCGTGCATGTAACCCTCCATGAACGTGGTATGCGGTTGATCATCGTTTGGTAGATCTTAATCTATACGAGGCTCAGGCCCCGCAACAAATCCCGCAACAATTGAGGCACAGGATGTCGGAATGGGGCAACTGAAATATTATGAGTGTATATGATTGCAGCAAGCTCATTAATCAGAGGTGGCAATCCCTGCGGTAGTATATCCATCCCGCCCCGGTTGGAGCCTGATGCCGATTACAACGAGATCAGTGGCTTTAGGGATGTAGTGTCCCGGTAAGATCGCATCGGTGAACACACAACTGGGTCTTGACTCTTTATTTTCTTTTCTTTCTTGGCCATCCTTTTACCCTTGCTCATGTTCAGCTTGGGATTGCTTCGTTGAACAATCATATGGATGTTGGCTGATGGTGTTACAGATATCGCGAGTTATATGTCCCATATGTATCAGATATCACATGTACCAGGAAATTCAATAGGGCAGGGGATGTTTTCCGTTGCTACCGCCACATGGGGCATGTCCTGTGTATTCCTGTTTTGGACCGAGGAAGGGCTAGACGGCGATCCGAAGCGGCCAAAAGTACAGGACTGGGATTCAGAAGAGCCCAATTGTGTCTGGAAGCCTTCCGGCAAGCCGGTCGACGATGGCCTTAGCAGACGACCTTCACTAGTAATGATTCTTATCACCCACTGAGCGCCTTTGACCAAAAGAGGTACTGGACGTCAGCCCTAGATGTGCTAACCCCACAAGCAGCCGGGGGTATTTTCACCGCGGGCGTGTAGAAGTGTAGTAGCTATCCCGGTACTTGGTAACCGTGCCTTCGACCCAGAACCGGGGTTTAAGTATAGGCTATGGGCCGTGTAACCTAAAGACCAAAACAAACTTCAGTAGAACTTCCCTGTTTTCGCCGAGCTTGTTAGCAGGCTAATGAATAAAATAATATCCAGGGGGTAATGCAAAAAAAGGGGGAAAGCCTCGTTGCGTTCAATTATTGAAGCAGCAGAGGTATTCCCCTTAATGGATTGAAATACGGGCTGGAGTGCTCGGTTGCGCTGGCGATGTGAGGACTATCAGGGGATCTCGACCATCGCAGCTTTCTTTTTTTTTTTTTTTTTTTTTTTTTTTTTTTTTTTTTTGTGTTTTCTTCACTAATGGATTGATCTCGGACAGTGATGATCCTAGCATCAGACGATTCATTATACTAGAAGAAAGGAAGGTATAAAAAAGAAATATGAATACCTATAGCCACATGTGCCATTCCATTGAATGAAGTGTAAAATGAATCGGACATTGATTCTCAGGCACTGAGCCTTGTGTTGATGAGATTAAAGGGAAAAATGAGGCGAGAGAGTGAGGCGGGAAACCGACCATCTACGGTCACCTGATCTGAACATCCCTCATTCAGCAGGAGCAGATCAGAAACTCCAAAATAAAGATAACGAAAGTGATTGAATGCGTCTGTGAGTGCTAGGTCCAAACAATACGGAGATACAGTCCTCAAAGCTATGGCGTGTCCACTATATCCAAGTTCTCTGGCTTCTGTAACCTTGGACAAGACTGAGACATATATTGTCTAGATTGACACCATGTGTCGATCATCAATGCAGTGCAAACACAACTGAGCTGACACCTAATTTTGAAATCGGGCCCTCTAAAAAGAGCAAAAATCTCGCGAGAGCTATAGAAAAACCCGACAGCCTGGTTCAGATATGAGACTGTTACATCAACAATGCCTCTGCCAAGAATAGTGAAGACGGCCACCAGGACAAGACATATCCTTGTCTTTGTCTTTTGGGCAATGTTAACATGGACCAGCCATAGGTTATGGTTTCCAGTCTCACTGACTGCATACTTGTGATATGCTATAGCCATCATTGTGAACATATGCGAGAAATATATCGAATTCCTGAAATAATCGCTGTGATTTGTAGCCTTGAGACCGACAGCGTTTTCTTAGCGCGATAAGCCAGATGAGAGACCTTGCCTCCCAGAATCAGCTTTGCAACTTGATGTTTCTGGGGGAAGGAGGAGCTATTCTTTGGCATCCCTAGAATCATGTCACAACGCACCACTCCCTAGGAAGACCAGTGCCCAAGTTCGAACCAAACAGACGGTTTGGTTTGATCAATGTAGCATAAGATAACCCGAAAAAGTATTCGCTTGAAGCCCAGTGTCTCTGATCAGGTAGAGTACTACCTATCAGCGGCTTCATTTGGTTGTTGGAATACTAAGGCGCGGGAGGAGCTTTGTGGTAGAACATGCAGTATTCCGGAGGAAAAGCGAACAAAGTCTTGCTATATGTTTCGTCTTGTTCACATGGATATTTTCCTCGTGACAATCTACCTTAGATATGGAGCAGATTATGATACTGATTCTCAAGACATGTTGTGCGATCAAATTGAAAGGAAGGTAAGGTTTAAAGCAAGGCGCGCAAACATGTCCGAGGCCGAGAAATGCCAACAATTTCGGGTCAGTGCCCATAGTTATGCAGTACCAGCCATACCTTCCCTTTTCTTGCGCCTCCCACAAACCGCAAGGCCATTCTCCACCGAAGCGAGTGTGGCTCCCAGTACATGACCTGGACGGCGCATATCTTATATTGTTACCAGGATGACTATCCCTTGCTTGTTATTCAATGAGGCTTCAATCAGATGGCACCCGTCTTGATGCATCTATATCAATCCCAACCCTTCACTCGATCATTTGAGAACGCTCATGCATCTGCCATACAAGCCACGAAATACGTTGGTCTCAAGGTGTTGCTTCAGCTTTTCGCAGGCACGGTGTTATTCTTCATTGTTTCAGTTTTCTTCTGGAAAATTGCGAAGTTCTGCCGTTTCCTCACCCAGGGTAAAGTGCTCAAGCAAGGAAACAAAACTACTACACGCTATAGCAGGACTTGGTATGGCTGGGTCTCAGCAGAACGACATGAGGAGAACAAAGTGCTAGCACGGAGATGTCTGCAAAAGCTCCATGATTGCGCAGTCTGGAGATCACCGAGCGATGACTATCGCTGGATTTGGTGGGATCCTGGACAGAGAATGCAAAATAGGTTTTGCGAAGAAAGGAGGAATCTGCGATGGCTACCGACCTGGTTTAAAAGCTATAGCTACATTGCGGCCGATACTATATGGAACCCAGGGCCCCCTCCTCGCCACAGTAACACTACTACGTCGGACTTCTGCAGTGGATATTCTTCTCTCAGAGCTATGACCGGGGCACTTTCGACAAGTGGTACACCTGGAACCTTAACAAGTCGGACAATCTACTATGCGCTTGGAGGAAGCAATGTTACGAGTTCGTCTAGCCAACTGTTCTTTCAGCGTGGTTGTCAGCGAGCTCCAACGGGAGTATTGGCAAAACCGAGCCGCCAGTATCGAAGCGAATGCATAAGAAATTGCAAATTCGAACGGGGGCATCTCAAAGACGCGAGCAATATACATCTGCATCAAACCCAGTCACATTGTTTCTTCAGCCCCAGTGTGATGCGCTCGGGTTTTGCAGGTCGTGGCCCAGGAGATATACGCAGTCTTTCGCTTCCATGCCTCTTAAGCCAAAGATACGAGAGTACAGTCGTCTCCAATGTGCCACACAGCACCAAGTCAAGCTTTCCAGAAGGCAGACAAAGAACAACGAAAAAGTTCCAAGATTTCCGTAAACATCAAGTCTGGTCTGCTCGGATGGCACTGCAACCGTCCAGATATAGAGAGCTTCTAGGACCACCTGCCGGGACTCCGCGATCTGGGCTTTCTGTCACCAGTTCATCCGATCAGACATCTCTATTGATCCTGAACCAATCAAGGCGCATGGAGGCTTTCTCAACAAATTCCAGCACACTGATACCTAACAATCCTAACAACCATAATCATGTCAGGAATGTGGAAGTAGCGGTAAGTGTTGATCATGTTGCTGGTTTAGCTGTGCGCTACTCTGCAGTCCCTGCATGTGGTCGATCAAGCTTACCATGTCGCCTGGAGGCCCGCCATCGTACAGGATTAGGCTTGGAAGAAGAAAGGGATTCAGATGGTCGCACGCGACAGAAAGAGCCATTGCGCATGCATCGCTCTAGACCAAGGCAGTCCCGGGAGAGGAAGAAGCGAAAATTGGCAGGACTTCTGGAAAGAAAAGTTCCTATTAGCGAGCTGACTAGTTGGGAGCTACAGTTCATAGATGGGCTGGACCGGAGACTGGAATGGCTCTACAACCAGCTCTGCCCAGGACGGAGACCTTACCATTTCGCGCTGCTTGCGAACCACTGGCTCAATAAAGAAACCTGGCTGGTAATTGACCCACCTACGCGAATATCTATCAGTGCTAGAAGGCGACTAGGAGACCCAAGATTCAACTCGCCATATCCAAAGCCTGACTGGACTGCGAAACCAAAGTACCCAAGGGTGCCACGCAAAACAGTTTATACTCCTAAAATCAATTCATGGAGGCTAGCTGTTAACAAACACCGAAAAGCATCTGGACTACGTGACATGGTCAAGACAATCAAATTCTACCCCGATTCAACGGCTGATCCACCAGATGGGAAGGTTGACCCATCATGCTGGATGCTGCGCAGGCCCCCGCAAGGATCGTTCATGTCAGCCCGACAGGGAAAAGTGTATTATGAAGGAGGGGCAGGCTGGCAAGAGACATTCGATGATTGGCAAAAGATCCGCCATGGCTATCTGATTCAGAAAGCCATCCATGAAGGCGGAGTCAACAGAACAAGAGCAAGAGAAACTGCAGGAGCAATCAGCCGGTATTTTCATATGGCAACAGCAAAAGGCTCTTGATCTGCAAACGATTCATGTCTGGTCCGCTGACAGCACAGCGCGTTTTGGGCAGAAGTTGTGTGGTTGCTCTGCAAACAGTTCGAATGTGTCTAGGGCGGTTATATATCTGTGTGAAAGGATGATGTACGGGACAGATAACATGATGCAGCCTCTTTATGGTCTATCTGTATTGTTATGCTGCCTTCAGGCGCTTCCATCGGTTCCCAATGACCGCCTAGCCTTACGAATCTGTAAGATGCCATCAAATGCCAAGTCTCTGAAATCGAATTGAATCCTGTGCCTTAGGCTTGAATAAAGAACATGGTAAATAGCGAGGCGAACAATGCAGTCATGGTGTCATTCCCCAGTTGCCAAAAACTCCGGTAATCCTTTCCGTGCCTTCAACGACGCTTCTTGTAGAGCATCATGGCAGACACAGCGTGTGGTGTATAGTACAGTTGAATAATGCAGGTACAAATATGTAAAAGGCGATTGCCAGCTTCCCAACACACTCTGCGTGTATAAGATGTTTAGAAACCCGGGGGGTTCACTCTCTGGCTGACACGGGTCCACTTCGGTAGCTCTGTAAGAGACATAGCATTAGCACACAAACTTCGGACGGTATCCCCTTCGGTTGAGACCCTCAAATGGGGACGCGGCAGCTCATCGACGTAGAAAGGCCCAAGGTCATAACGTACTGTGAATACCCTTGCGGTACTTCTTCTCCTTCTTGTCGAACAGTGTGTACTTGTCCTTGGGCAGCATCTCCTCCTCGCGAGGCATCTCCCTGTACCAGCGCTCGACGGACTTGGTGGTGTATCCATTGCGCTCCAGCGCGGCGGAGACAGTGTCGACAACCCGGTCAACGCCACGGAGGCGCTTCCTCTGGCGAGCCTTCTGGGGTTGGGAGAGGCGCCACGGAATCTTCCTATTCGATTGACGAGGAATATTAGCTTCATGGCGCATGATGAAGATGATGGGGGTGGTTGTAGCGATGCGGGATGTCCGGGCGGGTGACAGGGGCAGCCAGAATGAAATTGCGACCTACCAAAGAAGACCCGAGAAGAGCGGCGAAGAGGGCTTGAACATCATCTCTGCGATTGACACCGATTACAGTCACAGAAAGAGGGACGAAGTGAACGGATGAGTGGGAGGCAAGCTATCAATCACAAGGAGCGGAAAGCCGAGTTGGCGGACGAAAATCCCGTCGAAGAGGTTTGGGGAGGTCCGTGCACGGCGAACCTCCGCGGGCCAACAATTGATTTCCTTCCCCGAATTTCTGCGAGGCCAATGAAGATGCCACCTGCTTTCACGCCGTCGATCCGGGGTTGTTCCCCCCCTCCTCCTCCTCCTCTCCTCACTTTCTGCCTGCCGCTACGCTGTATTATATTACTTGCCCTTCTCCCTGTTACTGCTTGGATGGATCTCGGTTAGAGCGGGCTGAGTGAACAATGTCGCGCTCTACGGACTCTGGCGGCGCAACGGCAGATGCGCCCTCGCTTCCCTGGAGGGCATTGTCCTCCACTACCATCTTCGGAGTTGCAGCATTATGCCGTTCGTTTCTGTACCTCTGCAGTCGGCCACAGGCGAATGGATTAGATCAATTTCTCGAGCTCCTCGACTCGAGGAGTGATCCCTCCCAGAGAACGAGAGGCTTGCTCACAGGTATGCTCTCTAGTCTTTCCCCAAGCGTCACTGTACCTGAAAGATTATATATCGGCTAATCGTTCTGACTTATCAGTTTCGAACCATACCAGCGTGTACGTGCCTACATTGCGTCTCGAAAGCTGAGGCGACCCGTTCAACTCCGACATCAGAGAACGCTGACCATGGCCGCTTTAACTGAGCAGGATGGATGATCCGATCATGTGGGGATTTCTACCGATGCGATATAACTTCGGACTTGCGAGTTGGAATAAGCGATGGGGGTTTGGAAGCCACGACATCTGTTATCAGACTAGGTATGGCAGTCCTCTTTGCCTGATTTTAATTCGAAATGATTTGTTGCTGACTGACCGGACTGGTGTATAGGCCGTTAGCCCTTTTCTTCACAATGGGCCAAGTCCTGCCGACACATCGATCGGCCCATTCGCAATATGGTGGCCTCGCCCAGCCCGTCGTCACCCAGGCGATCCGACTCCTGTCGAAGGGGCCATTCCCCGCTGACCCTCATCTCGCTATCCCCGAACGTCAATCGTGGAGTCTACAGAATGTATGCGTCGATCCGTTTTCCGATCTCCCCACAGCCTACACCACCGATGGGCATGACTCTCATCTGTCGCCGTCCTCATACGCCTGCAATTCGTATTCTTGGTTCCATATATTCCCGGAGGGAAAGATCCACCAAGCACCGAACAAGACTATGCGCTACTTCAAATGGGGTGTGGCACGACTGATCCTCGAGGCTAGCGAATGCCCGGATGTTGTGCCGATCTGGCTTGAGGGCTTCGACCAGGTTATGCACGAAAGCCGCGAATTCCCACGGTTTCTGCCTCGAGTCGGAAAGGAGGTCAGCGTTACGTTCGGACAGAAAGTGGATAGGGAGGCGGTTTTTGGGGAATACAGAAGACGTTGGCAGAAGATCAAGGCCAAGGCGGAACGCGTAGCCCCCGAGACTCGCGATCTGCCGTTTGGAGTGCTAAACGACCAGCTCTTATATGACCCTGAAGCAGTTGAGCTGCGAAAGGAGGTCACTAAGAAGGTCCGGGATCTCGTCCTTGATGTCCGACGGACGAGAGGATTGTCGGACGAAGACCCGAAGGAAGGCCTAGTGGAGACATGGATGCAAGAGGGCCCTAAGCGTGAGGGTAAGATGGACGATGATTCATGGGTCCGCGATATTTGACGATGTGCACTGCATTACTGCGAAGCGAAAAACAACTGTACAATAGAACCTTGCATAGAAATAAAATATGGGCACAAGCAACATCGCACGCTATCTCTTGTCTTCTCTACCGCAGCCTACCGACTAAAAGAAGACTCAGCCTGGCTTTACGGCAATTTAGCATGAATTCACCAATGACTCATTCTCACTCATAGCAAGCTATTCTAGTGAACTAACAAGCTAGTTGGTTAAATCGTGGCTCAGCCTTACTAAACCGAAGGGGCGAAAACAGCTGCGGCGAACGATAAGATGGGGAGGAGCTGCCGCCGATCGGCCTCATCCCACTTCTGCCACATTGAAACCTCCCCCTTGAGTCTACTACTCTCCTCCCATCCCTATGCCCAAAAAGCACAAGAAGACCGCCTTTGCGAAACCAGCCAGCACTGCTCACCATACCCTCGCTTCCTCCGGCCCGCGACACCACGACCACCATGATCGTCTTCGTTCATCCCACGCTTCGTCCTCTTCCGCGGAGCAACCCTCCGTCAACGACCTGATTCACCACCTCCGCCGCACGCAGGTCTCCAATGGACCTGAAAGCCCCTTTAGATTTGTCGCGCCTCGATCTGTACATCCCTCTTTACGGAACCTTCTTGAGCTACCGGAAACACCGCCTCCCCGCCCCCGCCCGGGGGCGCGGCGTGTCGGGGTTGTTGGCTCGCTGCGCTTGCGACGGACTGCTGGACCACCACCACCAGAGAGCTGGCTCCTGGGCAGCCGAGATGATGCAGAGGAAGAAGATGTTGACATTGCAGCCGCGGAGAAAGAAAGGGTCATCTACCGGTTAGAGCGTCTACCAGGCACGACCTTCCCTCCCAAGGGCAGTCTTGTCGAAACGGTGCTCAGATCGATGGCCACGTATTGGGAATGGCATGTCGAGTATGACGGACCGTTCCTGGGAGCTCTACCAAATCACCTCAAAGTGCGCCTCCTCAGCTACATCGCTGTATATGCCAAGGATCGACCGCTGGGCGGGCTTATGCGCGGTCTGCGACCTCTATTCGAGAAAGCCCGCGCTACCGACGACCCCGATATACATCAAGAAAGCGAGTCCGAAGTCACCCGTCTAGACCTAAGCAGCGCCATCGGTCGATGGCTAAGCTTGAAGCAGCTCTCCAGCGAGCTCCTCATCACCGAGAAGCCAAATACCGTGCAGCGCAAGCCCAAAGAATCCGTCCCCTCCTCCTGGGAAGAGGAATACGACGAAGTCGAAGAAGAGGGCAACACCATCACCCCAACAGCAAGCAATCCCACCGCTATCCCCCATACACCATCCCCAACTCTCCGCTTCTCCAACCTCCGCTACCTCTCTCTCGCACACCCCAAACCCGGCACCGTCAACTGGAACTCCCTCATAAGCCTCCTCTCCCGCCTCTCAACCATCACGCATCTCTCTCTCGCCCACTGGCCCATACCCACCGTCACGCCCAACGCAATCAACGCCCGAATCCGCCACCCCAACCACCGCTCCCTAACATTTTCCTACGGCGGCACCGACACCTACTCCGCCAGCGAAAACAACTGGGCCGAAGCAGCAGGTCTCCTCCGGCGCCTGTCCCGCGTAACCTACTGCCTGAAGTGGCTCGACCTTGAAGGCTGCGGCGACTGGATCCCAGCCCTAAAATGGCAAGACAGCGAATCATTTTCATCCGCGTACGCCTCCTCCGGTCCCGAATGGAACACCTCCTGGCGAGACATCGAATACATTCGTCTCGGACCAGGCTGGCTGCCCCATATTGACGACGCTGAGCTCCTCCCTGAGAATAGCATCAGCCAGAGCGGCTCCTCTTCCTCGTCTTTGTCGTCGCCTACCCGATCTTTGGCTTTCTCAGCGCATGCGCCACCGCCGCATCCCGCTCTTGCGAGCCGTGTAGGAGGCGGAGGTGGAGGAGATGCTGAGTCATCACTGTCGGATCTTCCCTGGGATGTGGAGGTCGAGCGGATCAGATATCGGAGGGGAAAGGAGCTAGAGCGGATCCGGGAGACGGTGCAGGCTGCGAAGGAGGTGCAGCAGTGGGTTTTGAGGTTGAGGAGGGAGGGGAAGGGCAAGTGGGTGCAGTTCTCTTTTGGGTTGGAGGGAATTGAGGAGGATGGGTTGAAGAAGTTGTTTGGGAAGGAGTGGGTGGGGGTTTTGCCTTGATGGGGTGATTTGTTTATGGGGGTATGCATATATATTGATCATTGGTTAGGGGGTGGTAGGTATGTGTGTGGGTTGCATATTTAGGATATAGTACCTATAAGCTTAGTTGGTGATGTTGATGCTGTGGGGAAGTATAAGTTAAGTTCCTGGTATATAACCAACTGCGAGGAAATAAAGCTTATATCAGATGATGGAAAGAATACAGCTTCGAAGCGAAATACAAGTGGGCATATTCCACGATTTCATGATTTTACATGCAATTATTGGAATTGGAGTTCTATATGCACGCACTATCCCAAACCAAATATGATGAACTTTTTCCCATGGAACCAAGAACAATATGTACATAATCCCTCATTCATCCACCACTGATCCCAGGCACGTACAACGCCTATTTCCGGCCCCTATTAAACGTCTTCAACGGATCAACCTTTCTAATACCCGAGGGCTTGCGGCCCTTGCCCTTGGCGCGGTTCTTATCTCTGGCCTTGCGGATGCGGTTGTCGCTGGTTTTCCGGAACCCAACGAAGCCGACATCCTCGCTGGAGATGCCCTTGCGACCCTTGGACGGCATCAGGTACTCGGGAATGTGTTTCAAGTGGGGTTGGATACGTGCGGAGCGCAACTCGCCGTCGTGACGGAGCTGGCGCAGCTCGTCGGGGTTGTCTTCGAAGTGGCGCTTGAGTTTCTCGCTCTTGACTAGCTCCTGACGGATCTCGCGAGCACGGGCTTCCTGAACGGCAAGGCGTGTGATGGCGCGAAGACCGTCGGTCATACGGTAGCGGAAGGCGTCGACTTGGCTCATCTCAAAGTGGTAGGGTTTGACTTCGTGGCCATGTTTGGATTGACGTTTAACGATCTTGGCCAGGACGGCTTCGTCGTGTTTGGCGGTGGGGAAGGAGGTGGGCTTGTGCTTTCCGTACTGGTCTGCTGGGACGACGAACGAGAGCGCCATGCCGGTCTTGCCGCCACGGCCGGTTCGTCCGATGCGGTGTGTGTAGGATTTGGCGGTTGTGGGGAGGTCGAAGTTCAAAACGCAGGCCACATTCTGGAAGTCGATACCACGAGAGATACCATAGTCCTTTTCTTTCGCGGTGAGCTTGCGACGCTTGTCCGGGCGATTCGACTTGCTCTTGTCATCTTCGGCCTCTTCGTCGTCACTGGATCCCATGACACCAGCAGCTTCCTCCTCTTCATCAGCGTCGGCGTTCTTGGCCTTCTTCGACTTGGATCCTAGGACTTCCTGATCGTCTGCAGCGATAATGATGTCGTAAACACCCTTGTTGAATTCCTGGACGACGTGGATTCGAGAGTTCACTGGCAACTCGGAGTTGAGAACACAGCTCTTGACGCCGAACTGTTCCAGGAAAAGCTTGAGGCGGTAGCAACGGTCGATGTCTCCGACGAATATGATGACCTTGCCCTTGATGAGCTGGAGCTTGAAGATCACGTATGTCAGGAGGAATTTTTCATCTTCTGCGCATCTGGTGGGCGAAGTAGTTAGTACAGCGCTTCAATCATTTATCGTGTACAAAGTATGCTTACTTGACAACAAATTGGCTAACACCAGCGCCCTTCTCCTCCTTATCCTCCAACTTCAGCACAACAGGGCTGCGACAGAACAGTCCCTTCAGAGTATCCACTTCCGAGGTGAGCGTAGCACTCATGAGGAAGGTCTGTACGCCACGGGGAATCGCCTTGGAAAGCGCATTAATATCTTCGTCGTATCCGTACGAAAGGACCAAGTCGGCTTCGTCGATGACCAAGTGTGTGAGGTTATCCAGCGAAAGAGAGGAGTTTCCGAGGTTGGCAATCACACGAGCGGGGGTGGAGATGACGATATCGGGGTAATCAGAGAGCATAGTGCGCTGTACGGCCTCGGAGACCTTCTGAGTGAGGTTCACAGAGCGAACATCCTTTCCGCAGAAAGCAGCGAATGTGGTGACGACGTTTTGGACCTGTTCTGCAAGCTCTCGAGTGGGGACGAGGATGAGGCCAGTAGTGGCTTTCAATGAGGGGTCGGCCTAGCAGCATATTGCGATTAGATTTCCTATTGAATGTCTATTGATAATTTCCGGGGAGTACTGACAGCTTTCTTCTGAAGAATGGTCTGAAGGATAGGGAGGACATATGCGGCGGTCTTTCCGGAGCCGGTCTTTGCACGAGCTGGTATTGTTAGTATGCCTAAGATCCACCATAGACACCGGGATATACACACCAAGAATATCTTTGCCTGCGAGCGCCAGTGGAATGGCCTTCGCCTGGACGAGCGTAGGCTTAGTGAACTTCTCTTTGATCAAGGCTTGGCGCAGTCGCGGATCCAAATTGAGGCTTTCAAAGTCGGCCTCGTTCGCATCGGGGGCCTCCTTGGTCTCCGCAACTTCAGGGGAGGGAACATCATTAGCATCCAACTTGCGCTTCATTGTGGCGATATAAATTCCCAAATTTCACTGCTAGTTTGAGGGAAGGGAGTCTGGGGAAGCTGGTGAACGACTGGAAAGTTTTCCTCATTCAAGCGGGCTGGAAAATCCGTCGGGCGGTGAGATTTTCCGAGGCTCTGATTTTGGATGAACTCCACTTGCGCTCCACCGATAAGCCTGTTGGCTGCTATCGCATCTCCATTCCCTCGTGCGAAGTACCCTCCAGTATCTCTTGCCATTTAAGGGTCAGCAAACTGAGGTACCTTCTAGTTCTTAGCCATGTCACTGTTCAGGTATCAGATAGCAGTCTATCAGGCTGACTCGTCGCTCTTTCCCTCTCCCTATGGCTTCGCTCTTTCTGCGAAATGTTCCTTAGGAGTTACCCACGATGTCGCTGCTAGGGCTTCCCTGCAGCTCATCGACTAACCTAGCCTGCCACTCGCGCCAGATTCTATCAATTCTATATCACTCTCATTTCCAATATGCCCCCTAGGAATATCCATACTACCGGCTTCCCCTCTGGAGATAAACCTGATGATCCCAATACTTTAGAACGCAATTTTCCCAGCCATCCACCTCCCTTTCCACTGAACACAACAATCGAATCCAGATTCGAAACTGCCTCGGGACCCCCTCCGAGTTTGGCAGAGAACACCTTGACAGGGAATGTCAATGATTTTTTACGAAAAGTGGACTCCACTTCAGGTTTCGTTTCACACAGCAAGGAAGACGGGATAACGCAAACTACAGCCGATGATGCAAACTGCCTGCCTAAGAAACGTCATTGGGGACACCACATACCACCAGTTGGTGATATTGATATGGTGGAGGCTTATATAGCGCAGAAGGAATGCCATGAGCAGCAGAAGTTGATCGCTATAGACAGGCACAAGGTGCACAAGTTGCGTGCCATGATGTGGGAGCAGAGAGAAGAGGAAACGGCTGTGAGGGATTCTATCAGAGCACATCTCAGTGCTATTACATGCTGCACTTGCCAATCTACTGCACAGCTCATTGAAAAGGATTACGCAGCACTCCGGTCGATCGCGCTCTATCATTTGGATTTGGAATACCAGCTTAATCAGTCTGAGGATGAATTGGAGGAGCTTGAGCAGGAACTCGCTCGCTCAGCCGCCCGACTGAGCCGCCTATTCCACCCGGTAGATAATAGAGGACTTCAAGGTGTTAGGACCGAAGTCGGGGTTGCGCGTTCTAGTTCTGATCCTCGAGGCTTTGATACCCAGTCAATCCCGCTGACCACATCTGAGAGGAAGAATGATTCGCAGCAGCAGCAGCCCCATCTGTTCACATCGCAGGTGCAGGAATCCATATCTGGCGCAGAGAGAATCCCAGTCTCTCAAACAAGCACGCGTCCAGTAAGTCCAAATTATAGGTTCCCGCAAGCTTGGGATCGGATAGAGGCACAGCCATGCTATGACATCGCCGACTTCGAGTCAGACCTTGACGAGATAGCGCAAAGTGATCCAGGATTCGCAGGGGGCACAGCTCACTCCTTGGGCATTCGCAGTCGTTCTGCAGACGACATCCGTTCTGCAGATGATAAAGTCAAAGACCCGTTCAAGTTGACGATTCGTGAAAGGTCCTCCCCGTATGATCAGAATGATTTCGATAGCACTGGGCCACCCTTTCAGCGGCGTAGGTTCATAGACAACTGGATCCTTCACCAGGTTCGCACCTCATCGCTGGAAAGTGCACGTCTGAGATCCCATCCCGTATGGGAAACCTTACGTACCCAGGGCTTGACCGATGAAGACATCAGTCAATTGGCTCTTGGAAGCTGGCACTCGAATGACGCAGGTGCGGTGGTGTCTAGTGGTTCGACAATTAAACCCTCCAAGAAGCCGGAACAAGCCAGCACTGTTATATGGCGCGGGACCTTCAGGTCTTTCAACAATCGAAAGAGAACCAGTTCCATGGCTTTTGGCACTCGGCCACCTCTCCGTCGCATGTCTCGCTATGATTCCGCCTGGCAGGGATTTGGCCCTGAAGATGAAGGCAGTCAGCCAGCAGACTTGGGCAAGGAGAATGAGTAATTGGTATATTTCAATATCCGTTCGTTTAGATGGTGTAGCATAGCACAGGGATTGGTGGCTAGTCATGGCCTATCCTTAGTGACAATATGCCACCACTTGGATAGCTCTCAAAGTGCATACTATTATCACATTCCGCTAGGCTAGAGGATAACAATGGCCTTAACAAGCACAAGTAGATGGCACAACTTAAACTCAATAGGACCGGAGATCTTGTGTAACATCACATAGTCAATCTCACTGCAATCAACTACCATGATCAAAGATTCCATCCCATAGTATGATCATATATCGTTTCCATACCATATCCACCCCCAAAGTAAAAACAACAAATAGAATAAGAAGAATAACAAGCACAATTCATTATGTACATCCATTGCATATCATATCATATCATAGCAAACCATATCCATATCCATAATAATTTCATATCAGATCATTTACTTTCCGAATAACCCAATGCATCCATCCATCAAGCAAGCAAGCAAGCAGTAATCAACCAACAAATCAATCACTCTCACTCAAACTATCCCTTCTCCTCCCACGCCCGCCCTCCCTTCTATACCCCTTACTCAACCCCGGAATCGGATGATGATAACTCCTAGTCCCCGTATCCTCCGTATCCACATTCGAATACTGATACTCGGACCTCGACGGCGCCGACGACGAGAAATCCAACGGTTCCGTGTAGTGGCCCCGCACGGACTGTCTCTCCCGCTTGCGGGGACTACTAGTCCGTGATCCGGAGGACTCACTCGGCGGGGGATTCCTGCGTCGTTCACGCCGACGATTATGTCTTCTCGCTGAGGGTTCGCGGCTGTGACGGCGGTCGCGGTGGTCGTCGCGGGTCGGTGCCTGGCTGAGAGTGTCCTCGCTGCCGGGTACGAAGGAGAAGTCACGTCGTCTGCTCTGTTTCCGGGATGGCGCTTTAGCAGGAGCCGGAGCCGGAGCCGGATCATAAGCGTAATCGCGGACCTGACTTCCGCTGATTTCGCTCTGGTTGTAATGACTCGCTGGGTTGGAGAGGTCGTAGTCACTGCCGTAGTAGGTTCCCTCTCCCTCGCGATTAATGCCCCCGACACGGGCGGCTTTTTCCTTTCTGTATGCGGCAACGTCCTCGTCGACTTCGTTCTCCCAGTTCGCAGTCATTTCGTCGTCCTTGCGCCGACGACGGAATTTCTCGCGGAGCTTGCGGCGCCGTTTGCGTTCTTTCTCGGCGGAGGTGGCCCCCGTTACGCCGGTCTTTTCAGTCAGGTTGGTGGCGGTTTCGTCGGTGTAGGTGTAGCCATCGTCGGTGTAGCCTTTGTGGTAGACGCTGCCGCCGCCGAGTTTGGTGCTTTTGGTGGCGTTGGATAAGGTGCGGCCGTCGGGGCCTTTGCGGCGGAGAACGGTCGATTTGTATTCTTCCCAGTCGCCTTTGCGCCAGATAAATCCGCCGTTTTTGGCCCAGAAGAAGAACCAGATTGCGGCGAGGACGAAAGCCGCGCCGAGGATGGCGAAGAGCGCCATTAGGCCTTTCATGTTGATGTGGCTTGGTTCGACGGTGCCGGACCCTGGGGTCCAGGTTGAGCTGGAGCGGCCGAAGAGGTGGGTGTGAGGGACGGCATTTTGGTCTGAGGTGGTGATGGTGGTTTGGGTGCTGGCGGGGAGGAGCGTGGCAGAGGGGTGGATGGGAGGCATGGTTGTTGGAGGTGTGAAGAGCCGTCAAGAGCTTGGAGCTCTAGACGGGACTCTGGATGGAGGTGATGGTGGTTAGCTTAATTGTGGGATGGTGCGGGTATGGGGTATGATTGGAATGTGGGTGTGTACCTTTATCGAGGTTGTCAATGTGAGATCAAGTTTATGGTTCTTATCTGGATTCCGATCGGTCGGGATACTATGTAGATGGTAGATGGTTGGAATGTGGATCGCACGATGTGGTGTATTGCTAGACAAAATAGTTAGTCTATGCAACGGGGATAATGGCCAGCTCCGTCAGGGACGGAAGAGGGCAGAATTGAAGACACTCAGCGAGCAGAATGGACGAGCAGCTGCCGAAAATGAGGAGGTTGGAGTAAATGGCGAGGCTGGGGATGACGCCGGTTTGTTTGGGTGTCCGGCGTGGCCCCGGCAACTCGCTGACTCAGCAGCCCTATCTTATCAGGATCACCATCTGAAAGTATAACTCTACAGGTGGACAGTCCTTGAGCTTAGAGGGACAGGATCGACAGTGCGTACGAGTCCAATTACAATGCTTGCGGTTATTCCCGATGACAGTCTTAGGTTTCAGCCAATCTTCTTCACTGGAAGTTTACGGAGCTCAACAAGCAGGGGACGGGAGGCAACAATGAATCCTGCGAGTTGACAGCGGGGGACCCTTGAGATTAGCCTGGAGTAAAGATAGTACAAACAGAGCCGGAACACTGGGATCGACGGGTGGTTGGCTGTGGATAACACTAACAACTTCAGGGAATGGAGTTAGTCTCATCCAGGAAATGAGTCACGAGTATTGGGCATCAACGTTTGGATGATGGAAATGAAAGACGGGAAGATTGAGGGATATACCGAGGTGATTGTGGGCTGGGTCGACAGTGATAACCCGAGATGTTTTGTCTTATTTGCATTTCAGGTACTCGGGAATGAGGATGAAAGTAATATTTACCCGATAGTTTGACATGAAGCGGTAGTTTTGAGTCCGTGGCTCATTAATTTGGGCCAATGGCAATAAATGTAATCCTGGTGAGCTAGAATGACGCAGAAACCACGTTTAGAGTAAAGCCTCACTCAGCCTCAGCTGAGCAGGGACAGGGAGGTCGTCTGATTTCAAATTTCAGAAGTCGCCTTTATTATCCTTCTCAGTCCGATCGATGCCAACAGCATCCGTATAGATGCATACTAATTGCGATGTGGATAGGCAGCCCTCTCTTTGTAGCCAGACGTGTGAAAACACGACAGTGTTCTCTCAATGACTCACGGGATCTTTGATTTCCAAACCCCTTGTCATGAGGTTAGTGTAATTTCAGTGCCCGAAGAAGCTTGTTGAGAAGCAGCAAGAACTAGGTTGAATGATTTATCAACCAACATTGCCACAGACATGGTATCCAACTCATCCGAGACCGGAAGACCTTGGAGGAGTGACGGGAATGATGGATTATCACAGGCTCGTTTATGCCTGTCATTCGCAGTTAACTGTCAGGACTTTACAAGCCGGAGCAGAGAACTGCGATGCAAATTTATTGCTAGCGGGCAGTATTGTCGGGAACCCATTTTCTAGCGTGCTTCGACTCCATCTTCCATGCCGTTTGCTCACCGGAAACTCCACCAGGATGGAGGATCAAGATATCAGCCAGCTAGACGATACCGGTAAGTGGGGTAGAAGAGCATTCTAGAGTAGATGACCACTTCTTTATGTCATGGGGAGTTCAATCTGCAGTAAGTGGGAGCAAAAGCTTTTCTATAAATTTTTATTTCGCGCAGGACAGCTTAGAATAATCGCATTTGTATGGATATACCTGAGTGACACCGATCAAGTTTGCGTGAACCTGTTTTCCAATTTGACATCGCAAAATCTGGATGGTGAAACTCTTTTTTTTTACTTTTGCCCCTCCGGTTGAGAGATTTTCACCTGCAGAGGCGGACGGCAAGAAGCGCCGCAGTGGAGGCCGCAGTCGTTATTGGGCCGCAACGGGGTTCCTGCCAGCGTCCAGGACTTTTGGGCAGCCAACAAGACGGGATTGTCTCGGACAGAGCATGGATCCTATCTTATTTGATTATTGCAGACCCATGACGATGTTTCCGGCTCAGCGCTGATCACACGGAATGGGAAAAGACAGATTTGGGTAATGGTTGAGGAAGCTCCCCATCCATCCTCACCATCACCAACACCATCATCATACATCAACCTGCTAGTCTTGTAAGTTGTAGTGGCAGTCAAGCCTGGTCCGTGGTTCGGTTCCGCTCAGACCCAGGGTTCCTCCGATGGAGCCCGGGTTTATTTGGTGGGGGAGCCTAGCGGTTTTATTTCCACTTCCCCTGGCGTTATGGCCGATACGCAGTTTATGGCCAGTGCCTTTCTGGCATTTTGAGATGACGCACTAGTGGTTAGGTTGGGACTTGAGAGAGAATGAACGTTCGATGATATCCCGAGAGTAAGGTTCTGAAAGCCACCGTGAATAAGGCTTCGTGCTACACTGTATAGGATCCTGTTGGAAGGCGCGGATCGTTGTCCATCACGAGGCAGGATGTTTCCGGCCAGTTGCTAAGTAGTCCTGGTGCGACGCCGCCATGACAATGTTGACAGACTCACAACGGACGTTGCACCAAGCTGCCAGCTAATCTAGCTTTCCTCGACTGGAAGAGAAAGACAATCTCTTTCACAATATGCCTTGGTTCATTACTGTGTCACTGTGCCACTCTGTCATGGCTGAGTACCGACGGGGGATACCTGGTACAATAAACCGCCATGCATACCCGCTTCTCATCTCTTCAGATACATTGCAAGCCTTACTATGCATGCACTTGGAGGCAGGGAACGAAGCATGTGACGTATCTGATCGATTCGACATTCGAGGCTGGGGTTTTCGGGGTTGTCTTTCCTCATCTGACCAGGGACTTGGGACACAACTGACGAACCGACTCGATAGTAACAAGCATTGCGCAGACGCGTTTAACGGAGTCCAAATCTTAGTGCCAACAGGTTATCATATTGATAGCTTTGCAGGCAATATCCAGATGTTGGAATGTGATGGCGATCAGGATGATGGGAGGTAATGGATCCGGGGACTAAATGCCACGCGCTCGGAATAAAACGCTACAGCGTAGGTACCAAGGTTGAATACCCGTGGGAGTGGGAACGAAGTATACTCCGGACATCAATTCCTCGACATTTGGATAGATCAAATCACCTCTGTCATGGAGCGGTTGATTGACCGTGCTTATGGTGCTGATACGCCAATGGATGAAATTAATCCCGACCTTGCAGCTGCAGGTGAGTTCCCTGTCGACAGGCCAAATATAAGATCCTGCTGAAGCAGACCCCAGCATGTGTGACGTATGTAAGGTTCGTGGGTGGTAGCAACTGTGTGTTTACATCTCGAGTCATCCTCAATATTCAACCCGGGTGTTTCCTTGCTATACAACTCGCACTGGAGATAATCCGCCATGGTGCCTTCTATTCATTGTAGACGCGGGAGAGAGTCTTGACGGACGGTAACGAGCGGTAATACCGGGTGAGTTAGCGGCAGATCAGGCATCGACCGGCAGCCAGTCAGGGTGGCATCCCCACCTCCTTGCGACTTCAACCGTTCCGACTTTTCTTTCTTCTTTTCCAACCAGGAATGCCTCGGATAGAGATGAGACGCGATGCGATTGCTGACAGACCCGAAACGGGAAAATGAAGACTAGCAGGGAAGTGTCCATGAAGACAGAAAAAGTAAAAAAAGGGAGGTTCAGGAAAATGGAAGGGACAACAACCCGAATAGAGAGCAGGGATGTTTGGATATGGAAGAAAGGGAAAGCATCCATGATGTCGAGTGTGCAGTTACGATGTCAATACTTGTATGGTTCGAAGCATAGTGGGAATCTTCCTTCTCGGTTGTCCTTGATGGACTTAAAGAAAACTTTGTAGTAGTAGTAGGTAAATAGTGGTAAGTAAGTATTCGCATTGAGTCACGATCATAAGTTTGATTGGCGCGTGGTGGTATTTCATTCCATTCTTTTCTTACTTTTTTTTTCAAGTTCAATGAATCCGATCTGGAACTCTGTAATTCCGCCTTGCATCCGTCCTCGGGTCTGATTCGATCCGGGGTCTGTTGGTTTTCCACACAGTCAAGTATTATGGATCCCTTTCAACATTTTCTTTTCTCAATTTATCTTCCCAGTCTACGACGGAGTAGGGACACATCGTGAGATTCGTTCCGATCCGGTCCAGGGATGATGGGATGAAAGCTGACCGACGATGATGACTGACTGACTGACTGACTGACAGATTTGCTCATTAAAAAGGCTATATCCATCCATCCAATCTACTCTTCTCTTCTGTACTCTCTGTCGGGCATTCCTCTCCAATCCATTCCCCACCATTATTACTCTTAGCACAAGTCAAAAAGCAGTCCGTTCATCTTCCAACCCCACTTCTGTCTGGTCTCTTCTCTTTTCCCCTCCATCCACTCACTCGGTTATCCACTCTACTCTTTCCCATCTACATCCACCTTTTTTTTTCTTTTCCCCTCCCCCTCTTCGTCAGGCTCCGACGGGACCACAGAAACTCTACTACTGTTTGAAACCATACAACCAACCTTATCATTTTACCACCACCACCACCGCCACAACAACATACCACTCAGTTTACGATACAAAAGAAAAAAAAAGGAGATAAATATAATCAAACCAAAAACTGAATAAAATTTCCCGCCAACCGTCTATTCGGTTACACGCTGCCCGACTGCATTGAGACTTGCAGCCCGTGGACATTTTCTGCCGGTCATCCTCCACTCACCGTCTGCCAGACTACAACTGCAGGCGCGCGCGCTCCTCCTTCTTGTCTCGTTTTTTTCCCTTTCTTCTGCTTCGTTCCTCCGTTGGTTGACTTGGTATGACCCACGCCTGCATCTTCCTCTCTCGCCGTCCACTCTTTCCGCCCGACTACTTTCTACTAGTAGATACGGTCTCGTTTCCACCGCTGACCCTCCTCGCGCCAAACCAACCATAACCGACGCCTTCTCTTTTTTGGCCCTTTCTTTCTATTTTGTTTTTCATTATTCTTCGATGGAGCCTGTGCAGCCTGTGGACGACGACTATTTTCACCACGAATCCACTCTTCGTCGCTGACCCCCGATCTAGACACACACCGTCTGCTGACTATTTTCTGGCCCATCTGCTGCCGGTCTCGTTTGCTTTGTTGAGGCTACCGCAGAAGTGGGTTCCCCGACACTGGCACTGGGCTGAATGGGGAGAGGGTGAAGCAGTCCAGCACCACCACTAAATTATCACTGGACGAAAGCGAAGAAAAAAAAAAAAATAAACAAAAAGAAAAAGACAGAGGAAAGACTAGTAAAGAAAAGTCTGTCTTCGTTGAGTCATTCGCATGAGCAGCAGCTGGTGGCTGCTGTAGGCCACCCGGAGTCCTGAAAGCCTGTTGGATCACCACGTTTCACGTCATCCACACTGCACACTGTCGAGCCCTTTCCCAATCAATCCAACCTCTCCCCTCCCTCGTCTGCCTGTCTGTCTTGTCTGTGTCTCCCCTTTCCACTCAAACCCACACCCACAGTTTCCCCCCCCCTTCCCCTCTTAGGGTCGGGCCTTTCCTTGGCCGCCTTTCCAGAAGTCATGTCTGTCCCTCACGCCGCCTTCTGTGAGGAATATGATGAAGATGCCCATGTCATCCTTCCCGACACTCGTCAAGTCGCCAACCTCACTTCTAAGCGCTCCAAGCCTGTCTTGAGATCGCCTGCAGCCCCCCTGGTCGACGTTGCAAGTGACTCCGGCTATTCTAGTCGTACCGCCGCCACCGTCAACAGCACCCAATCTGGGCCGTCGGGCCGGAAGAGTCCTGTCCCTCTTAAATTAGACACCACCCTCGTCAAACGTGCTGACCTTGGCCGCGTTCGATCCAAAAGCAACAGAGAACAATCCAAACCTCGGATCGTTCGTCCCCCTCGTGAGGACAAAATGCAGGTCGGCGCCTATCCCAACGGCGTGAGCCATGCTCCTGCCCACGCTCAGCGGTCTCCCTCCAGGCCTCGTCGCCGTGAGACTTCGCAGATGCGCCACTACCCAGGCACCTGCTGGGAGTGTGATCAGGGCTTGTACCATGCTTCGTCAACTCCAGTCGACAGCCGACCATCCATGGACTATCCTTACTACATGTCGCAGCCTCCCTCATCGGCTCACGACTATCCTCCTCCCCCTTCACCGCGCGGGGACCCCCGGTACGCTCCCAACCCGGTCCAGGACATTCATGTGTCCCGCTCCAGCCGCCCCTCCGCCCGTGGCGGGGGTCCCATCTACCATCCCAACAACCGACCGGTGAGCTTTCATGGCATGCTGCCTGGAATGGGACAGATGGTGTACCAACCCTCCAGCATGAGCCGCTACGAACATGGGCCCCCGCCGTCCTCGTCAGCGTACGCCTACAATCCCTCCTCGTATGCGCCTTCTCATTACTCGCAACAGTCGCCTTATTACAGCGGCATGTCCGACTACGGCGCCCCTTCCGAGCATCGGCAGGAGCGATCGGTTTCCAGCACACGGGATGGGCGGGGACGGCGCCCGTCTGTATATGGTGCGCCTGTGGTTGATTACGACTCTGCCTCAGCTGCTTTCGATGACGACGAGCCCTTGGATGCTGCCCCTCCTGCGCCACCACCGCCGCCTCGGGAGCCTCGACCTCGCCTACCCTCTCATTCTTCTCATGATCGCGACGAGGACTACTATCGCCGGCCACCGCTTAAGCACAAGAACACCCCGCATATCATCCAGAAACGCCCAGAGCCGCGTAAAGGTGTATCGGCACCCTCCGTTACGTCCGATCGGCATTCTGCTCGGTCCTTTGATATGGCTGATATGAAGGATGCTTTGCCTGACGGCTACGGCTACCGCCGCTCCTCCCGGGAGACGGTCGTACCGGCACGAAGCCGCAGCTACCGGCGCCCTACAGCCTATCACGATTCCGCTAGACCCTCGCGGATTGCCGTGGAGAATTCTCGTCGCCGTCAGCCAACTATCTACGACTTTCCCGACGATGACGATGAAGACGAGGACGAGGACGAGGACGAGGATGACGAGATGGATGAGAAGCATCGCGAGGCGGAGGAGTACCAAGCTACCCGCACAGCGAAGCCACCCGTGCCTCCGGCGCCACCCGTGCCGTTGACGGCAGATGCTCTCTTCAAGGCCAAGTCCTCGCAGCGCGCCGAGAGCGACAGTGGCAGCCAGAAGAGTCGCAGCAGCCGTGGCAGCGATGCCCGCACGCAGAGCGGTAGTAACGCTGGGTCCAAGCCAGAAGAGGATAACAACATCGTCATGACGCTAAACGGGGTCACGATGAGTTTCCCTCAGGATGGTGGAAAGAAGATCAGTGTCCGGACAGGCGAAACTGGGGCGGTCGAGCTGAACATCGAAGGCAAGCAGCGACCGAAAAAGTATTTGACCAATGGATCGGAGTACACTGGCAGCGTGGCTCATAGTCGAAGGGAACTCGAAGATGCCCGACGGGTAAGGGAGATCGAAGATTCCCGGCGGGTGAGGGAGATTGAAGATG